GTCGAAGGATAGTTACACCCGTGGTCGCGCTAAAGATGCTTAGAGCATTAACTAAAAATTCAAGCAACATCTTTAGAATGGGTCAGTCCGGCATCCTATTATCTCTAGATAATATCTGCCCATGTGCGGATGCGAACACACCGTCATTGACCATGAGACTAAGTCAAACATCCAACACACACTAGTCTCACATGCATTAACGATATCCCACTCTCGTTAATACTCGACTATGGACATTCAGATAAATATTTATTTCAAGATGTTAGTCTCATCAGCAGAATAACACTATCTGATAAACATCTTTAAATATAAATCTAGGAATATAGTATTTGTTTACATTAGCATGAGATGTGTAAACATATTATATCTGCCTATAGATGATAGAATAATGATAAACAGTTGGCCATCAGGGGCCCTGTTTCAGGGCACAACTCCAACATAAGAACCCTCTACTTAGCTACAGACTACAGGAAAGGTTTGGGACTTAGAGAATTTCAAGAAATGCATAAGATTCGTAGGCACTAGTGTTCAATACGCCTGACCCGTTTGTAGACAAACAATGTAAACATGTATGTACAATGTATGTATCTGTATAATATAATGCATGCACCTGTAGAGACAACATACTCCTTGCAGGCTTGTACTCTCGTATTAATGATCCTAAATCCATATGGGTCTTACCCAATACAACAACTATACAATAATTATGTAAGAAATATAACTAATGTATAAATATTACCCCCAACCCATGGAGGGAGGCGAGCTTCAACCAGCAATCTAGCAATAATACATGAATATTCTCAGTCCATATATTTTTGTAGCTTTCTCTTTGCTCTGTGTCTAGGCTACTCTAGACCCGAGTTCCCATAAACTGTCAATTGGGTTTGACCCATTTTTAGCAGGTCATTTTGGGTCTAGTCAACATAAAATATTTGTTCAAATTTAGTATTTTCATGTCCAAATAGGTTCGATCAAATTTTGACAGGTATTGGACATTAAATTCATTATTTAAACCACCAATCACTTAGTACTCCCTCAGTCCCAAAACTCTCTTACCTTTGTACCGTTTTTTGTAAAAAAAGTTTATTTATTTATAATGTTTATTACCATAAAAAAAGTTATAATGTTTATTTAATATAATTTGGTTAATTTTAAGATATAATTTTAATATATCAAATTTCTATACAATTTATTTATGCAAAAATATACCGGAGTAATTATTAGAGTACATGTCAAAGTGCTGCATTGATGAAGTGAAACATTAAATGTAAAACTGTTTTGGGGACGGACGGGAAAAAATTCATCCGTCTTAATTTATTCGTCTAGTTTCATTTTTTTGAGTTAAACTTGAAAAACTTTAATCAGCAATTACTTTCAATCATCAGTATTGTATATTAATAAAAGGAAATAAAATTAGAAAATTCTAAACAAGTTAAATATAATAAAATCATTTTATACCATTATTACATATTCGATCTTTTAATTGAATTCTAAAGTTGATCCAATTTGACTTGAAAAAGGCAAATTTAACGAATACACTGAGAGCTAGAGACTATAGAGCGAGTAGTATTTTTAAAAAATAGGTTAATTTTTTTCGTCCCTGTAAAACTAGCAAGTTTTGCTTTTGGTCCCTCCAAAATAGTTTTTAATTAAATCGTCCCTGTAAAATTATTGTTTTTGCAAATAGTCCTCCTCTAAATGTTATTTTTGCAAATAGTCCTTCCCTAAATTTTTATTCTTGTAAAATTTATATATTTTCTTTTTGGTCCCTCTAAAGTTCTTTTGGTTCATTCTTCCTCTTTTTTTAAAAATTACTTGATACTCTGTACAAGATTAACATAATTTTTTAGTCAAGATAAACTAAGTAATTACAATGTCAAAGTCATTGAAATATTTTTAGAATCTTAATCGAATAATTACGTTACTAATTTTTTTTGATTTTTTCTAAATTAATACTCCCTCCGTCCAATAATTTTCTTTCTCACTTTCCTTTTTTGAGTTGTCCAAAAGTTTCTTTCCCGTTTCTTGTTTTGGAAATTTTTTAAATAAATGTGCCGTTATACCCATACTTTTTATCTACATTATTCACTTTATTTCACCACATCAAAGGCAACACAATGGAAATTCTTTACACTTTTTAATTTTTCTTAATCTCCGTGCCAAGTCAAACCGCAAAACAAATTTATGGACGGATGGAGTACTTTCTAATATAATATTGGAGTCGTTTTTAATAAATATCTTTACTATCATTATACAAAAAATCACCCTAAAAAGAATTTCTGAAATAGTCTCAGATGATGAGGGTAAGAATTTTGTTAAAAACCATGAATTTCAGAAATTAAACTACAAATTTACTCAAAAGAAATCTAGTTTTAATTTAGCAAAAGATTTTTTCTTACTAAAATTAAAGTATTGCTTTTGCAAATTTTCAATTGAGTTTGTGAAAATGTAATTATTTGATTAAGTATTTTAAAATATTTTATTGACATTGACATTGTAATTATTAAATTTTGAGTAAAAAGAATAAGATAATCGTGAAGGAAGTATTTAATAATTTAAAAAAATAGAAATGAATGAACAAAAAGAATTTTAAAGGGACTAAAAAGGAGATTCAAAAACTTTACAAGGATCAAAATAAATATTTAAATTAGAGGAGAGTATTTTAAAAAATAATAATTTTACATGAATGATTTAATTAAACAATAGTTTGGAGGGAACAAAAAAAACCACGAATTTTATGAGGACAAAAAAAATACAATAAATCCTTTTTAAAGTAAGAAACATACGAGCATTTATAAACTTCCAAATTAGAAATTCAAAACCGGAGAAACTTTGCATATCCCCCTAGTTTTCCTGTCGCCCAAGCTTTCCTACTTTCTTTCCTAATTTTAAGTCCAAGTCCATCATGGAAGACCACGTATTACTCCTTACTAGGTCTAAGTTCAAAGCTATAAATACCCACGTTATACTCATCCTTCTCGTCCAGACCACACCTAATAATAAACTATTATTATTACTTCGTAGTACATAAAACCCTCCTTAAACCTCGACCATTCTTAATTATCAGGTAGCCATGGTCATTCCGGCGTCCAGAAGTTCGTGCGATAATCAACTGAAGAGGCACAAGGGCAATAACTTTGTTGATCAGGCGGCGGCGATGGCGATCCTTAACGGAGAACACCTGGCGGTGCCGCTGCAGGACATGCGCGGGATACGCAAGACGAGGATCGTGTGCACGCTCGAGCCGGCTTCCCGGTCGGTCGAGATGATAGAGCGCCTCCTCATTGCGGGCATGAACGTCGCCCGGTTCAACTTCTCTCATGGGTCCCATGAATACCACCAGCAAACCCTAGACAACCTGCGATTGGCCGTCCGGAACACCTCCATTCCTTGCGCCGTCATGCTCGATACTAAGGTAATTTATTATGACTCTAATTGAATGTCAATCCAAATAAGAGACGAATTTTAAATGATATTTTTATTTGGGTATTTAATTGTTATTCCATTACTTAATAAATCTTGAACGAATATCAATTGGTATTAGTCAGAATCTTAATGATACACTAATCAAGATTATTGATTATCAACTTGTTTATCTACTCTATTTCATACTCCATCAATTTTAACTTTTTAAAGTTATACTAGACAATTATAATAATCAATTACAAAATAAGAACAGGGTTTCAACTTTATTACTCCATAAAACAACACATGCCATTTGTTTCTATGTGACAGGGCCCAGAGATAAGAACAGGGTTCCTAAAGGATGGGAAGCCAATTGAACTGAAACGAGGCCAGGAAATCACAATCACTACCGATTATTCAATCGTCGGTGACGAAACCCTCATCCCCATCTCCTACCACAAGCTCGCCTCCGACGTCTCTCCGGGAAGCACAATCCTCTGTTCGGACGGCACCATCACCCTCACTGTCCTCGAATGCCACGTGGATTCGGGGCGCGTCCTGTGCAGGTGCGAGAACTCAGCCGTTTTGGGGGAGCGCAAGAACGTGAATCTGCCCGGGGTTGTCGTCGACCTGCCCACACTGACCGAAAAGGACAAGGAGGACATTCTCGGGTGGGGCCTGCCGAACAAGATCGACATCATTGCCCTGTCTTTTGTCCGCAAAGGGTCCGACGTTGCGACGGTCAGAGAGATGCTTGGGGAGCACGCCAAGAACATTGTGGTTATGTCTAAGGTTGAGAACCAAGAAGGGGTGGACAACCTGGATTCTATTCTGAAGAACTCGGACGCGTTCATGGTGGCCAGGGGCGATTTGGGGATGGAGATTCCCACGGAGAAGATTTTTCTTGCGCAGAAAGTTATGATCGGGATGTGCAACTTGCAGGGCAAGGCAGTGGTCACCGCCACTCAGATGCTTGAGTCAATGACTAAGTGCCCACGCCCCACACGCGCCGAGGCCACCGACGTGGCGAACGCGGTGTTGGACGGCGCCGACTGCGTGATGCTCAGCGGGGAAACGGCGGCCGGCTCCTACCCGGTGGAGGCGGTGACGACCATGGCCAAGATCTGCCTGGAGGCGGAGAAGTGCATCAGTCACGACGACGTTTTCAACATGGCTTTGAAGAGCTCGCGGATTCCGATGTGGCCGGAGGAGAGCCTGTCCTGCGCCGCCGTGCAGGCGGCAAACTGCGTCGGCTCTGCCTTGATCGTGGTCCTCACCAATGACGGCAAGGCGGCGAATCTGGTGGCCAAGTTCAGGCCGAAAATGCCGATTCTGTCGGTCGCCGCCGGTGACGATGCCCCCGTGAGGCAGGGGCTTGTATACCGAGGGATATTTCCTGTTTTGTGCTCTGAATTGAATGCTGTCAAAGAAGGCGGTGTGATGGAGGCGGCCGTGGAATACGCGAAGCAGAAAAGGCTATGCTTCACCGGCGACACCGTCGTGGCGCTCAACCTCACCGCCGGGAACGGGATGATGCAGATATTGAATGCCTAACTAGGTAAACGGCGGCTGAGAACGATTTCTAAGATTGACGTGGTAGAATATGGAAAAGCTTTTATCTCAATTTAGCTTGGAATATAGAAATTTTTTTCCATGTTTTGCAACTCTGTTTTGTTTTGCTTTGTTATTTTGGACCAAATTCTTTTTTGTTAGGAAAACTTTTTGGGACTCATGATATAATATTATAAATTGACAACTATATCCCTCTATTCTTATTTATTTGTCTGTTTCGCTTTGACATCAAATGTTTGTCTAAGTATATACTTCATCCGTCCCTAAATATATTACAATTTTTTTTTCCCCCTCTCGATAACTTTTGTTTGTTTACGCGATTTCATTAAGTATTTGATAAAATAAAATATTCTTGTCACCTCTTGTTTTGTAAAATTTTTGACCTAGTTTTTTAATATGTAGTAATTTTTATATCTCATTGATATACCAATTTGTAAATAAAATGATTTCAAAAAATAGGAAATTTTACTCCGTAACCCGCAATTTGTAATCAAATTGGGGAGGGGGGAGTATTAAAGTGCACTATGAATTAAAATATAAATACTATACCAAATTATTGGTATCGAAAAATACTTTAAATGTATTACTTTGAGTATTTTTTAGTAATATATTTTAAAAGATATTGTTAGTCAAATTTTAAGTTCGAATGAATCGAGTATGTTTTTTTGTGGAATGAACCTTAAATTCAAAATCATTTTAGCTTTTCCAGTTCATATTTGAATAAAGAAATTTCACTTTCTGTTGAAAAGTTAATTTTACATCTACTAATTTTTACTTAGACTATAACTTCATATTTATTTATTATTAATCTATTTATCACAATATATTTTTACCAATTAAATTCAACGCAAAATTGATAAGTCAACTATGCAAAATGCTTCTATTAAATTTTCCAAAAGTTAAAACGAAAATTGTTTTTTGAAACAGAGGAGGTACCTAGAATAACATTTTGACAAAAAAAAATTAGTCTTGAAGAAAATAGTGTAATATTTTAGTTTTGTACCAATAATTAACTAGAAAAAAATAGACATTAAAATTAAATATTCACCCCTTTTAAATTTAAGGTTTCTAATAGGACATTGCACTGTAGTAATGTAACTTTGCACTGTAGTAATGTGCCAGTGTACATGTGCACATTACTATACGTTTTGTAATGTATATGACTATGTTTGGTAATGTAAGTCCTATTTCGGGAATAAAAACATAGAAGTCCTATTTTGGTATATTTTCAATGTTTTAGTCCTATTTTGATCTTTCTACATTTTTTGTAAACATGATCTCGAGTGGATGTAAATATTTATATAAAAAGTTAATTTATTTCCTCATTAATATTAACAAAACACTATAGTACTAGCTTCTCATAGGTAGTTTAGAGCTTTTTGAAAAAAAGGATTTTCTAACGTATATGGTTATCTAGATTTCAAAATTCCATTCTCAATATTTTAGCGCTTGGCACATGCACTAGCAAAATATTGGAGCATAAATAAGCTCACAGCAAGCACCTAGAAATAATAGATCAATTAAAAAGATATTTTTTCATAGGAAAAAATGCATATCAAATATGTAGATGACTGATTGCCCATTAGAAACATTTTCAAACAAAAAATACTTTAGATCTAGAAACAAGATTGAAATATATAGAATGGAGTCCATGTATTTCAATCCTCCGGTGTCCCGTTCGTAAAATTGACGGTTTCTAGGTCCCTAATCCCCCGGTAGACCCCCCACCCCGCCCGACCTGAACACCCCCCTACTTTCTTCAATTGCACCTCCCAAGTTAATTTTGACATTGTAGTCAAATTTTAACTTCAAAATCAAAATCAACTTGTGGGTACAATTGAATAGGGTGGGGGTGTGTTCGGGTCGGGGCAAGGTAGGGGGTTTACTAGAGGATTAGGGGATAAGACCTGTCAATTTTACGAACGAGGCACCGGAGCACCTCCGGGTCATCCCATGACATTGATTCTCAATGTCATGGAAACCAAGGAGAATAAAGATGGGGAAATCAAACTTTGGGCAATCTCTAATTAGCGGGATCTCCTAATTAGCACAAGTACAGAAAATTAAAAATTTCCAATGGACAAGTAAATAGCACAATTTCTTGACAATGAAAAAGAAATTGACAAGTAAATGGCGGTGAACTCTGGATATCCGAACTGGGGATTCAAACTCCATCTTCTAACCCAATTCAGTACTGGAAATCTTTTCTCTGATTTGTTTTCGTTTTACAAAGATAAGCCTAGAGGCAAAGTGGAGAACCCTAGACAAGGTTCTCCTTGAGTTACATTCACTTTTGAAGAAGAAGAAGAAGAAGAATAAGATGGCTTATGCAAGCCTTTGAAGTTTGCTGCTGTGGGAAGGTTTGATTCTCTTGTTCCAGTTCAAAATCAAAAGGCTTTCTGGAAGGGACACTTTATTCATATTCAAGGAAGAAGCAGGCAAGACTATGCTAGATTCTTGAAGAGAAAAAAGAGATGGAAAGAAGATCAATTATCATGACCAGAAGTAAACAAAGGGAAGATCAGTTATAATGGGTTTCTATGAGGATATCTATCTACTTCATCTAGCAAATCTACATCAGATCACAAACCTCTACTAGTCACTTGCATGAAGGTTCATTTCTCTGAACCTAAACCCTTTAGACTCTTGGACAACACACACCCTAGATTTTGGGAATTTGTCTCAGATAAGTGGACAACACACCTATCATAAAACTGGAGGAATGAGAGGTCTAGCAGAAAGGCTCAAAGCTCTTAAAGCAGATCTCAAAGAATGGAGCTTTGATACTTTAGGCGACATTTCTAAGTAGTCAAGGACGCAGAGGAGAAGGCTGCTACTGATCAGGAAACCTATGAGAAGGATCCAACAGATGAATATAAATCTGCTTCTAATCTTTTTAATGCCGTTTTCAAGGAGGTTTTCAGCAGCCACAAAGAGGTGAATCCTTACTATATATCCTACGGTTGGTTTCTACTCAAAAATGTGTTTGAAAAATGGTTTTGTTTATGCTTGGATTAGATCAATTTAGGACGGCCGCCTGAATCTAAATCCAAAGTGACAATTTTGATATTAGCTGAGATTTTCATAACGCAAGTGTCACGTGATTAATACTTATTTGGCTTCCATCTAGTTTTTATTAATTAGAGTTTTCAAAATGGCTGTGTTAAATAGATATATTCTACTACATAGTTGTTAAGTGATGTTTTCCAATGAAATTAATGTTCTATTTTTAATTAAATATGTGGGCAGGTCCTTAGATTGTTAAAAATAGTAAGGTTTAGAGTTAAAGCAGGTTTTGATATAGACTATTTTAGGGGAAAATAGGGAAGAACCGCAGGTGGATTTATTCTTCAACTAAACCCTGAATTGTGTCAATAGTTCAAATTCTAGAGCTAGGCTTAATTGACTAAAGAGTCTTGGATTTGATCAATTTATTTTATATTATAAACTAAGGGTGTGTATTCAATCCGGGATTTTAATAGATTGTTTAAAATCTATGGATTATGTAAAATCCACGGATTGTTTTAACAGAGTTTGGTAGATTTTAATATTTTTTATCAGTAAGATTTTATAAGATTAGTCAAATTGTTTATAATCTGTAGATTATCAACACATAAAATATGAATTATTTTATAAATTTATACATTATTCTAACATCAACTATTATAATGAGTTATAAAAAACTATTGTTTGTGAAATTGATTAAATAATTAAAAATAATATAATAAAGTAAAAATAATTTATTTTTTTAAAAATTATTAATGTCGTAATATATTTATTAGAACAAAATAATACTCTGTATAGTGCTCATTATCACATGCAATAAACTTGTTTTACAATTAAAATCATTATTATCTCTCAACTATTGTTCTTGTATGTAAAAATCTATTAATGAAAATCTAAAGACAACATCATATAATTCCATCTTTTAAAAAATACTTGTCCTAACCAAATGATTTGGTGAAATTAATTTCATCTTTTAAAAAATACTCCATACATGATATAAATAGTTATATAGAGATCAGTGCAAGGGAATATAATGCACTCTTTGTCCTAACCAAAAAGAGAAAAAATTAATAGACATTTCTTCAAACACATTGAGGGTATAACCATATTAAACTAGAAATTTATAATTGAGGACAATGGAGGAGCCAAAAAATGATGCAGTGGAGTCACATTTGAAACAAGGTAGACAATTCAGGGAGAAAATTAAAAGCCATGAAATTAGGCGTTTAGCACTTACAAATACTCTATGAGAGACGAAGAAGAAAGATTTGGTAGAGTCTATTAACCGATGGACTGCACTATCGCCTTGCTTGATTCGACCCTGCTTGAAGAAGATGAAGATGAAGATGTCGATGAAAAAGTGATGGCGACAGAGGGGACGATCGATGAAGTTTAAGAATCTCTACATTGTGTGTGAGATTTGGGGTATGGATTTGTATTTATACCCAACACCTAAAAATCCATCAAAATCTATATTTTTTACAATTTTAAAAAATCTATCAAATTTTGAATACCATTAGATTTGTAAATATTTTTTAAAATCGGAATTGAATAGACCTAGATTTTAAATGAGTTTTTAAAATCTGAAATAAATACCTATGGATTTCCAGAATCCAAAAAAATTCATCAGTAACGTGATTGAGTACACTCCCCCAAAAGTATTTTCAAAACAATCTAAGTTAATCATTACCGTTTAAGTAAGTTTTTATAAAGTTTAAGTGTTTGTTTGCTTGTGTGTTGTTTTCATTACATGTTTTCTTCCCAGTTTTCGAGTCAGTTGCTATGGGTGTGTGCCCTTATCTATTTTATCCAAATATTTATTTTTCTCTTTTTAAATTATCTTTTCAAACCCTCAAATTAGTTTGCTATTTTATTTGTTTGTTTCTAGTGAGTAAACTTCCAACATATGTAAATTTAAAAAATTGTGTTCTTGCAGTGTAAGTTAGAAGATTAATTATTGGGAGTGCAAGACAGAGTTGCTTACTCCGTTTCTTCCCAGATTAAAAATCAAAATGGAGTATTGTACTCCGTATCACTTTATTTTTTTATTCAAAACGGAGTAGCCTACTCCATTTGCCATTAATTAACCAAATATGAAGTAGCATAATCTGTTTGTCCTTAAATTGGCAAAACCAGACTCCTCTTCTGATCTTATTCGCAAATCCATAAAAAAACAGCGATGAGA